CCCTCCCTAACTCCCCACCTACACTCACCTTTACTGGCCCCATCCCCGCCTCTTCGACCTGTTTGTTTCCTCTCCACCTATCCTCTCCTCTATCCCTCTTCTATCCGCCTCCAACTCTCTCCCTATTTATTTCAAAACCCCCTTCCCCTCCCCCTTTTCTGATGAAGGGTCTAGGCCCGAAACGTCAGCGTCTCTGCTCCTATGATGCTGCTTGGCCTGCTGTGTTCATCCAGCCCTGCACCTTGTTGTCTCACCTATTTTCCAAGGATCTCTATCCCTCTGCTCCCTTCCCATTCATGTATCTGTCTAGATACATCTTAAATGACGCTATCGTGCCCGCCTCTACCACCTCCGCTGGCAGCATGTTCCAGGCACACACCACCCTCTGCATAAAGAACTTTCCACGCATATCTCCCTTAAACTTTTCCCCTCTCACCTTGAAATCGTGACCCCTAGTAATTGAGTCCCCCACTCTGGGGAAAAAGCTTCTTGCTATCCACCCTGTCTATACCTCTCATGATTTTGTAGACCTCAATCAGGTCCCCCCTCAACCTCCGTCTTTCTAATGTAAATAATCCTAATCTACTCAACCTCTCTTCATAGCTAACGCCCTCCATACCAGGCAACATCCTGGTGAACCTCCTCTGCACCCTCTCCAAAGTATCCACATCCTTTTGGTAATGTGGCGACCAGAACTTCATACAGTATTCCAAATGTGGTTGAACCAAAGTCCTATACCACTGCAACGTGACCTGCCAACTCTTGTACTCAATACCCCGTCCGATGAATGAAAGCATGCCATATGCCTTCTTGACCACCCTATCGACCTGCGTTGCCACCTACAGGGTACAATGGACCTGAACACCCAGATCTCTCTGCATCAATTTTCCCCAGGGCTTTTCCATTTACCATATAGTTCGCTCTTGAATTGGATCTTCCAAAATGCATCACCTTGCATTTGCCTGGATTGAACTCCATCTGCCATCTCTCCGCCCAACTCTCCATGATTGAAGAAAGAATAGCACATTCCAGTGCAAAGTTACACAGCCAAGTCATGGTAAGAGTGTCCACCAAAGCATTACCTCAATGTATAAAGAAATTATACTGATATACATCCCTGTACATATTTATTAAACAGGGTTTCTTATTCTTGAAAGGGAAAAGTAAGGATACTGCACTATTGCACAGATCTCAGACAGAGACTGTACCTTTAAGAGAGCTAGATGGCATCATGCCCGTGATGTTCTAGTCTAAGCTAATCTAATCCAATCTCCATCTTCCTCCAAGTTTGCGTAGTCAGTGGTTAACATCGGTTAGTAGATGAGCTAATTATGCAAATAATGTAACTGTTCTAAATAAGGACAGCACCCAGATTCTATATTTAAGTCAGAGGTGTCATATTAGCATACATTGTTTTTAATAACTGTCCACATATCTGACTCATTATGAACCTGACTCTTCACAGTATATATTATATGGGCTAACATATAGAAAACCATGAAGTACATCATGCTGGCAGCAAGCAATTACAAAAGGTATTATTGAACCAGCTGCGGTTTTCTTTTAATCCAAAAGCTTCACAGTAACTTTTACAAACATGAACTTTTTAGTTCCTTGGTAAACTAAGTTTCAAACTTGCCCGCATCAGGTCTCTCTCTCCATCTTTTTGATGATCTCAAAGACCCCAGGGATGGAACTGTTGCAAGGTGAATTCAGGGGGCATAGCCTAATTTTGTAGCTAATTACAGCTGGAAATTCTGAATTTTCTTGCTCAGATACTCATTCAGCGTTCATATGGCTGGACTGACTGTTGGCAGCTCAAGAGATTCAGTACTTTAATCTCAGCTGTTTTATTGCTGTCATTTGGAAATATATTAGCATTTTGCTAAGCGTCTCTAACCATCAGATTCTCACGTTAACTTTATAGGTAAGATCTCTTAGTTTATGTGTAATTTTTTTTAAATCCCAAAGTGACCAGGAATTGAATCTTTAACTTAACTTCTACAGAGTCACAGACAAAAGAAACAGCATATAATGACAGCTGTTTACTCAGAGTATTAAATAAACTTAATGGTATTAAGAAGTGCAGAAAACATTCCACAATTATCTATTCTGATAACAGGAGACACAGGTTTCTCATAGACTGCACAGATAAAATGGGTCAGTCACCGGCCCCACGTTGCCTGTCCTGATAACAGTAATCACAGACCTCACAAAGCCTGTTTTGATATCAGGAGCCACAGGTCACTCAAAGTCTGTCTTCTAATGGATTTCAAACTGGAGACAAAGGCAAAGGCAAAACAGTTTGAATCAATAAAGCATAGTTTGTTAGTAATAAATAAGTGCAGAAATTATTTTGCAATTGTCTGCTCTAACAATGTGACTTTTAGTAGCCTGGTGCATTCTTTCAGAGCTAGAAAGCTAACAGTTTAGTTTACAAAGGAATGGACCACATAAAAGCTGCTGAGGACAATTATAAGATTGTTAACTGCATCCAGGTATATTCCTGCAAGTTTCATCACATGAGCCCCAACTACGTGCTGCATTCAAACAGATTATTTTCCCATTTCCAATATTTGTATAATAAATAAAATTCTTCAAAGCGAATTATAAAAGAAATATGAGCTTTAACATTTCTATTATTTCTTTCCTTGGACTGCTTGAAGCAGTATCTAGCAGATTAATCTTTAATTCTTGGAAACCTGCAAACGATCCTGGATGGTTAATATCTCCTGACCTGGTGAATGGACATTCTCACAGATACGTACCACCACAAGGGGGACGTTTGCAGACTCTTGTAGCTTCTGGTTTCTCACCATCACATTGGTCATTTGGACGACATCTGACCTGCCTTTGTTCAATTCCTTCCCCACACGTAACAGAACACTGCAAGTAATTAAATTTAAATAAATAATGGAAGGAGCAAGCAAAACAATTTGTAACACCTTTCCCAGCGATGGATCAGTACTCACCAGCTGTGTACCTCAGTGCTAAATGAAAGCAGTCCTATATTCCATGGTGTTCCCTAAAGTTATATAGTACTGTACTCCAGTGTTATACCACAACAGACTTGCATCTACCCAAACCATATCCCAGCTTTGTACAATAACTAACCTGCACCTACCAATGTGTATCCTCATATAATACAGTGACATTTGTACCTTCACAGCCCTAAGTCACATTGTTACAGGTATCTACTCAGCAGTATTGATAATTCTGAACTTTTTTATTTCTCTATTTTTCTAATTTATTCCTATCATCTGTGATGCTGGACTTCTTTATTTCTTTACTTTTCTAATTTTTCTTTTCCTAAGCACTTGTACGGAAGGATCTATACTTAGGTGTCTTTACACTTAACATAGCGCTGTAAGTGGTGACTTCTAAATTTTTCACCGTACTCATTTGAACACATGTGACAACAAAGCTAATTCAATTCAACTGAATTGCCTTTGAGAATGTGAATGGTTGTCTAGCTATCCTTTCTTTCTTCTTGTAATGGGAAAGCACCACATTCTCCTTTTCATGTGGTGTCGGTACGGTCTGAGAAACCATAAAGCTGATTTTTTTAGAAAATTAAACACTTACAGCATGAGGTGGTTATAGATCATAGAATCCCTGCAGTGGGGAAACAGGCCCTTCAGCCCAACAAGTCCACACTGACCCTCACAACATCCCACCCAGACCCATTCCTCGTAATCCACCTAATCTACACATCCCTGAACACTACAGGCAATTTAGCAAGGCCAATTCACCTAGCCTGCACATCTTTGGACTGTGGGAAGAAACCAGAGCACGCAGACGAAACCCACACAGACACACAGAGAGTGTGCAAATTCCACACAGACAGTCGCCCGAGAGTGGAATCACACCCGGGTCCCTGGCGCTGTGAGGCAGCAGTGCTAACCATTGAGCCACCACACCACCCCTATCATTATTTTAATTTTCATTCATGCCCAACATGAGGTGCAACTCCATAACACAATCATTAGCACATCTTGGGATTCAATGAATTCATTCATTTTTTAAAATAAATTTTGTTTCCTTTTCAGATGAAGCCGGCTTGCTCACTGACCTCTAACCAGGGTCCCGTCTTCCATTGTGCCGGGCAAGGTTTTCGATTACAAGCTCGACGGTTTTCCAGGCGCTCTCCAGTGCAGTACTTACTGTGCACTGACCGGTTCCTTCCATTGGTCATTTCTACACAGCGAACAGTGCGGAGTTGGTATCCAGAACTCCCACAGGATTTTGTGCAGTGTTCCCATTCATCTGCTATCCAACTAGAAGGGGTAACATTAAATAAAATGAATTCCTTGTAATATTCTGTGCATTTAACTGGCT